GTGGGGAAGTGGGATCAGTCCAGAGGTCCTTCTCTCCCTCTGAGGCCTGGACCATGGCAGATGGACTGGAGAGAGGGTTCTCTTTCTTAATCTAGGCTAGGCCTGATGGAGCTGGCCTGCCTCTCTCCCTCTGAGGCCGAGGAGGTAATGTAGGAGGTAATGTAACCTCAAGACATGTCAGTGTACAGTCCAAAGTCCCCATAAATGGACTTACACCAGCTTCTGGCTGAGACCCTCAAGTGGCCAACAAAGAACATGAATAGAAAGATTTCAGGATCATCAACTGAAAATTATTGCTTTCTTTCAGATCTTCAAAAACTAGTTTGATAGGTCTCCATAATTCTACCTCCACAATTTAAGGAGTTTGAAGTGTATCCACTAACTATCATGAGTTTATCCTACAGAATCCTGGGATTTATAGTTTTGTGAGGTATTCAGACTGGTATGTCATAGGGTTCTGCTGTTTAACAAACTACAAACCCCAGGATTCTGTAGGATAGAGAGCTCTGGTGCTTCACCAAACTACTAATATCAGGATTCTGCTGGACAGAGTCATGGCAGTTGGAATGGTGTCAAGATGCTTTAATTCTGCAGTGTGGATACATCCTCAGTAATTGAATACACCCTTGGTATTCACAATTGCTACTTCGTCGAGATTGTGACATTATTATCATGATCTTAACTCTTCCCCAACTACTTTTTATGATCAGCTGCATGGGGCATCATCTGCATGGGGAGAAGGAGGTCCATTTTACGAGCAATAAGAGCATGGGTGAACAATGTTTCCATCTGGCTATTTAGTTAAGTATATGTAACCAAGTAGCTGAAGGATAACACTAGCCAGATTCTTTTCTTCAATTGATTACATTTTTTTTAAATAGAGAGAAAGAACAAAAAGTATTCAAGGCAAAAGTGCTGCAATTTTCTTTTGTAGAAACAGAAAAAATTAGGTCTTTGGGCAAAATTATACAGTACGTAACAATTAGCTGAAACTCCTGTTTTACAAAAACACACACGCACAACCCCCTCCCCAATATTTTAAAAGGTCTTCCACTCAAGTGGTCATTGTGACATTTTAAGTCCTAAATAACATTGAACCTTGACACTAGAAGTGCCTTTCCTTATATTTACCTGTCTAAACACTGGCATCTGTTGGAAAGGCCCTCCCTTGTGTTCCACCAGTGGGAACAAGACACTAGTTTTCTTTGGGTTTTCTTTGCTCTAGTTGTTAAATACTCTCACCTTGTAGGTGCATTTGGCATTGACGTGACACCAAGCTAAAATGTTGCCATCAAGCTTAAGGAGGGTGGGAGAGTTTCTTCTTTGCTGTCTTTCTGGGGCACAGGTAAAGACTTTTTTTTTTTATTCCAACAAGTTTTGGGGATTTCATTGTTTTATAAGAAAAGGGCTTATTTGAGTATTCTGTATTACTTTTATTCTTTGTTTTTAAAGAAATGTATTAGTGATTTTAATTTTGTTAACAATTTAAAACTTTTTTGTACATTTTTAACCATGTGTCTTTATTTGTAATTGTATTTACTTTGAAAACTACCTAGAGTCTTTAAATAAAATGATGGGGGGATGGTTGGAAACTTAAAAAAAAACAACCTTTGGAACTAAACAGTCTTAGTATATGCCTAAGATTTTAAGTTGCTTTAAATTACTTAAATTGTTTATAGATTCTAGAAAGTTTAAAAAATGCTTTCTTCTGTTTAAATTAGTTTTCAAATTTGATTTTTTTTGTCTGCACACTGCCCTAAGATATTATAAAATATGGTGGGATATAAATATTTTAATTAATAAAAAAAATCTCAAGAACATAAATAAAACAGCTTTCTTTTTATTAATATAGTTTTGCCTTTAAGGTCCAGTTTAAATCAATCCATTTGTTTAAATGTTGAGAGGACTATTGCAGTATTATTGCTGAGTTGAAATTCAAAGTTGGCTAGAAGAAATAATCATTGACTACTAAGTTCAGTTAGCCACAATTTGTTTGATCCCTCCCAAAATATTCACACCTTTAAATCAACTGAAATTTGAGTTTCTGTAAAGTTACAAATTAAAGCTTCTCAGCTGCTCCATGATGATCATATACAGTTTCATGTCATTCTGTTTTACTGTTAACAACAGCTGCTCAATTGACATGTTCAAAACCATATTTTGGAGTACGTCTATCATTATACTACATTATTTTATACTGAAATTTCCACAAGTGCTGGGTCTCCTCTTGCAGTGACATTCAGAAAATCCATTATAAAAGTTCATCTTAATCCTAATTATCCTGATTTTCCCTGAATTTTGACCAATTTCTTGTCTTTCCCTGATCTATTATCATTTTTTTAAATTTTTTATGAAGTGAAAACTCTGTTTCCTAGATCATTTTGCATATCATTACCATTGACAGAGCATAAGAACATAGCTACCAAAAGATGAATGTTCAGTTATTTATATTCATACATTTCAATCTGAAGCAGCAAGACCAACTTTATGCCCTTCAGATGTGCTGGACAATTCCTATCCCTTAATAGGCACAAGCCTTTCCCATGAATAAAAAATTATAAGTACATTTTAAGATGCCAAACTGACAACAATCATCACACTTTTACTTTAAAATGTCTTGGATGCCAGTAAGTTGAGGGATATTATATGAATATATGACATAAAATCAACAACTCATCCAAAGCAAAGAGAAATCTTACCTCTGTTGCTCTTCCTCCAGCTTGACAAGTGTACTCTCCAGCTCTGTACTGTGATCGTGCTCGGAGCGGCGTAAACGTGACTCTGTTGAATCTAATTTCATCTGTAGCTAAGAAGGAAGGAACATGATGGATTAAGCAATAGTGGTAATTGAAGCATAGATTGAGTTTTACATATATGAGCACTTGCATATATAGCCTTCAGATAACTGCAACTGATGAAGTGGACTGCACAAAAACTTAGGGTGAATAAAAATTGATAGTCTTTTTTGCTTGCAGTGTAAGAATAGTAGCAGCTGATCCTTCAGCAATGATAGTTGCTCTGAAGAGGGCTTTTAGTAAATGTGCTCCATATTTCTTTACCTGACACTGTTACATTTCCTATATTTTTGTGCTTCTGTAGGCCTCATGAATTCAAGACACTAATTTCTCCCATCACTTCTCCCTTCATTACTTCTTTTTTAAAAAAATGTTGCTATTGATTTTCAAATCTTTATAAAACAGTCAAATATTACAGTGCAATTAAGGAAGTGATAAAAGAAAAAGGGAAGATACAAGAACAAATAAAACAATAACCACAGGAAGTGGTGTTGCTCGATGATTGTTGGTCTGCAGGGTTTCATGAATATGACCCATCTGGAGTTAGCTTAATCCACTGTGTTAAGTTGTAAAGTGTCCTTCTTGAAGTTGTTGTGAGATTCTGGAGGTTGGAGGTGGTGTGATGAATCATTTACATAGTCAATGAAAACTTAATTATCTCTTTCATATTCTGCCTCTCATTCTATTTTCTCTTCTCCCTCAGCAATTATAAGACCCTCCTCTATATCTACTGCTAAAGCAGCCCTTTAAAAAATCTAGAAAATGCAAATTTGTCTTTTTCTCCCAACATTACTTGCTGGTTTAGATTTGTTGTTAATTTTATGACTCTGGCTCATGGTAGCCCTATCAAATTTATTCAGAAGCTTGCCACTGCCTTCTAAGGTTGGGAAAGTGTGATTTAACCAAGGTCACCTAGTGGGTTTCCATGCCTTATGAGGGATTCAAACCCTGGTCTCCTAGAATTCTAGTTCAACACCCAACCACTAGACCACTGTAGCTCTCCCAGTTTTGTTAAAAATCTTCTGTTTGTGGCAAGACAAACAAACAAACAAACAAACTTAGTTCATTTATACAGTTATCCTCAAACTAATTTTTCTGACTATAGCCATATTAAAAGATTTGCTGAACACCAATGGGAGAAGAAAAACAAATATATAAATGCTGAGACTTGGGTAGGATCTGAAGCAGCAATATATAAGCATCAATGCTGGCCAGACACAGTGTTCAGAACAATGCTGTTCCTTCGTTTTTTGTATCCTAAGAACTGCTAGTGAATGCTGGAGTAGATTGATTGAATCAATGGGAACTTGTAACTCAACATTTCTGTAAACTACAGATTCACTGGTTCTACTGTAGCTGAGCTAGTAATTACATTTAGGCCATTGTCTGCTACGTGTGTTGAGTTTCACTTCCTCTGATTCTGGACTGCTCAACCATGCTTTTGGAATTTGTCCATCTGGGATCAGGATGCTCTTGCCTGGCTTTTGTGATGTTCCACACTCTGTTACTGTGTATCTTTGATGTGAATTATGGTAAGGCATAATGTTTTATGATCCAACATGACAATGAATTATAGAAATAGTAAAAGAGTTCTCATACCTAGGATCAAACATTGATAGAAATGGGGACTGCAGCCAGGAAACCAGAAGAAGATTAAGAATGGAGAGGCTAGCTATGAAAGAACTAGAAAAGATCCTAAAATGCAAAGATATACAACTTAGCACAAAAGTTAGAATCCTACAAGCCATTTTATTCCCTATTACCATGTATAGATGTGAGAGCTGGGCAGTTAGGAAAGATGATAGGAAGAAAATCAATTCATTTGAGATAATGTGGTGCTGGAGAAGAGTGCTGTGGATTCCGTGGACAGCCAAAAAGACAAACGAATGGGTCCTAGAAAAGATTAAGCCAGAAATATTCCTGGAAACCAAGATGACAAAACTGAGGCTGTCATACTTTGGCCACATTATGAGAAGGCACAACTCACTGGAAAAAAACAATAATGCTAGGAATGGTGGAGGGAAGTAGAGAGGAAGGCTGTATGCTAGATGGATGGACTCTATTAAGGAACTCAAGGGTATTAATTTACAGGAACTAAGAGCCATGGAGGACAGGGAGTCTTGGAGATGTCTCATCCACAGGGTTGCCATAGGTCGAGATCAACTTGAGGTTGGTTAACAACAAACATCAAGTGCTCTATTGAGAGCCAGTGTGGAATAATGGTTAGAGTGTTGGACTGTGACTCTGGAGAGCAGGGTTTGAACCCCTACTTAGTTATGAAAATCCACTGGCTGACCTTGAGCAAGCCACAGTCTCTCAGCCTTACAAGATGCCAAGGGCAAACCCCCTCTGAAGAAAATTGTCAAAAAACCCCTGTAATAGGTTAATCTTAGAGTCACAATAACACAGAAACAACTTGAAAGCAACCAACACACAAGACACAGTGCTCTACTAGGTAAGCCGGAAATTTGCTCACATCCCTTTCCTCTTGCCTGGTGTTGACCTCCCCCCCCCCAAAAAAATCCCCACCCCAGAAAATTTGCACTCTTGTCACTTCCCTGGAGATATCTGATATGAACGACTCAGAGCCAGACAACCTTATATGGAACAGCCTCCCAAGAAATGATCATCTTGCACCATCTTCCTTGTTCTTTGGACAGCAAAGCAAACACCTTTCTATTCTTCCTTTTAAGTAACTTTTATTTCTAAATGTACATTTTGGGTTCTGGTCTTCTCAATTTGAAATTCTTAAAAACATTTTAACTACATTTCTAGCTTGGAGAACTCTTACCTGCTTTGTCCTAAATCCAATTGCTGTTCCAAACGAGAGTAGGTATACTTAGAATCATAGAATCCTAGGGTTGGAAGAGACCACAAGGGCCATCCAGCCCAACCCCCTGCCATGAAGGAACTCAAAATGAAAGCTTCCCTGACAGATGGCCATCCTGCCTCTGTTTAAAGGCCTCCAAAGGAGGAGATTCCACCACATTTTGAGGGAGTGTGTTCCACTGTTGAACAGCTCTCACTGTCAGGACGTTCCTCCTAATGTTGAGGTGGAATCTCTTTTCCTGTAGCTTGCATCCATTGTTCTGAGTCCTATTCTCTGGAGCAGCAGAAATCAAACTAGCTTCATTCTCAATATGACATCCTTTCAAATATTTAAACAGGGCTATCATATCA